CTGCTCTGACTCGATTTATCTCAAGATCTGCAATTATTAGCTGTCCTTTCTTCCGTTTCATTTCAGCCCAGGCTTGGCGACGAGCGGCCAACTCATCACCCACGCGAGCGAGGGATCTATCTAGAGAGATGCATATGTTTGCCACCTCTGGACAGTGTACTAGATGGGGACATCCTTCCTCTTCAGTTTCTGCCATTGGGGCCTTCGAGTGGGAGGATTCTGATTTTTCAACATTCGAAGCCCCGGTAGAGGCAACTGGCACCTCTACTGGTTGTTCCCTTTTGCCCCCCTATAGTCAGGGCAATAGGGGACAATGTGGTTGGGGTCCCCACATTTGAGGCATTGATCTGCCTTCTTCCTTTCGGCCCAAACTTTTTCTGTAATTCCCAACTCTTTCCAAGGCTCTCCTTCCGGTAGGCCTGGATGTGGTGGGTACGGCTTATCCCACTTGTTGTACCATGAGCCTCTTCCTCTACCCCGGGTGGAGTAAGAACCATGGCCACCGTATGAGGGACCATTTCCCCTTCCTCCCTTCCTTCACCACCACCCCTCTGGGTGCCGAATCCTCGTCCACCACGGCCGCGACCTCGTCCTCGGCCACGGCCTCTTCCTTGATGCCCTCCCCCGCGGTCTGCAACAGTTGTGTAACTCCCCTCCTGAGCTACCGGTCTGTTGGGTTCATCGAGACTATAGTCCACCTGATCCCAGGAGATGGTTTCGGCGCCTCCTTCTTCAAAGGTTAGAAGGAGACTGTCTTTCCCAGGTGTAGATCCCGAGATGGTGCGGTTTTGCCATCTCTTTCCCGCTTGCAGATCCTTCCAGTAATGGCAATAATTTGCTTCAGCGAGGAAGCCAGCATGATCTATGGCGATCTTGCCGAACTTCTCATATATCATCCCCTCTTCCTTTGTGCGGGGATAGAGTTGCGTTCTCAGGGGATCTGGAAGTGCTCGTGCAAAACTGTTTAAGATTTGGGCTGGCGTTAATCCATGATCAGGGCATTGCAACAATTCGTCCATAGTTGCTTTTAATGCAGAGTTACTCTTCCATTTCCTATTGGGAAGGCTGAGAATCAACATTTCTGTACGTCTTACCAAGTTTTTGTCCTCAAATCTTTCTCTTATTAACCTAAGGAAATCTTCGATTCGCGTTTGCTGCGAATATTCTACCATAGAGCTGCATCCCGCCTCCTTTTGCAGCGAGATGGCGAAGCTCATGGCGTCGCCTCCCATGCACAAAGTTGCCATCAACACCCTGTCCCAGTATGGGATACGTTGTCCGTACACATAGGTTTCAATTGTCGCCGCCCAGTGCAACACACTCTCTTCTTTCTTTCCATTGTAGGTCCAGGGCAGTTTAAGTTTAATCTTGTTAGTCTGCCCAGGTTCCTGAGAAGGTTGACCCCTTGAACCCTCAATCTTCTTCTTTCCTTTCTTATCATCATCGTCGTCGCCATCTCCATCTCCTCCGTCGCCTCCAGCTCCCTTTACAATCTTTTCTACGACCTCCGGGGTGAAGACTTTATTAATATGTTCGTCCAAAGCCTGGATGTAAGTTGGCACATGTTGGTCCACGCCCTGTGCTGACTTTTCTACGAAGTTATTCCAGACGTTCTCAAATTCAACCCGATGTGTTTCTACACGTTGCAATGTCTACCGCATTAAGTCCATGTCTTGCCTTGTGTTGAGGACGGCCTCCCTGAGGAGTGCAAGCTGTGCTTCAGTTGCAAAGGGGTTTTCCTTTTGCGCTTCTAGAGCTTTTTGCAATTTATCCCCTTCTGCCTGCAATCTTTTCTTTTCCTCCACCTCTTGCCTTCTAGCGGCCAACAACCTGCGATTTAGCTCATCCCGTTTCTCCTCCAACATCAGGTTTCGTTCAACGGTGTCTTTGATAGTGGCCAACTTGGCGATGAACGTATCCCGTTCTTCATCAGATTCTTTCAACGGCTCGCTGGAGTAGTAGTACCGGCTGCCCCAATCCAGTGGTTCAACGGGAAGGCGGGGCGTTGTGCTGCTTTCAGGTACGTCTGGGCGACGACGTCTTTCCAACACTTCTCCTTCTTCTTGTTCTTCTTCTTCTTCTTCTTCTTCTTCTTCTATACTCTTCAACTCTTCTTCCAACTCTCTTTCCATTTTCTTTTTCATTTTCTTTCTTGCTTCTTCTTCTTTCTGTTTTGTCTTTACTTCCTTTTCTTTTTTCTTTTCTTCCTTTTCTTTTTCCTTTTCTGCTAGCCTGCGGTCAATTTCGGCTTGCTCCGCAGGTGTGGGGCCAGACTTCACTGTCCCTGACCGCATCAGCATGGGGGACGTGCACACACGTCCGAACCCCAACGGGAACATCAGCCTGAACAGGGGCCCCAATAATACAGAAAGGGCCAACAGGCCCTGGATGGGATAGTCATCCATGATGATTGCCGGCACAGGAGATCCTCCGCCAGGTCACCAAGGTACTATCCTACTTACAGACTTGGTCTTGACTTGCGGTAATGGAGTACTTATACCTTTTCTTTCCCCCTTTTTTTTTTCTTTTTTTTTTAACGGTAGTTAGAATGAACTTGTTTTTTTTTTTTTTTTGTTTCTGTTGACTGTAGAAGGTGCTGCGTAGTTCAAACAAGTTATATGCTGTCTGGCTCCCTGGATCAAACTGTTGGCAATGTGTTTCCCTCAATGTATATGTTTGTTTTCTTTCGGTACTAACTTGGCTGGTTGCTGTGTGCAGATATGGAGTATAGCGCAAAGAAGTCAGATGCAATTGGTTCACTTACCCACCCAGGCAGAGATACTTCGTATACCCTGTTCTTTCTTTCGGGCTTAACAGGCCCTGTAAATACTACTCATCATATTTGTATTGCCTGGTACATGCAATCTGACGTGGCACATAGCCACTTTCCACATCAATTCTTGGTTCTTGATAACGATACCCAACCTACCTATCAAGAGGGATAGGAGAGAAACATACTCCTATTCGCAGAATACTGGACCCCTGCTCTAGTGTGACCAGTTCCTGACACATCACACTTGGGTTATCAAACTCTGACGGCTCAGACCTGACATCTATGACAACCCAGATCCAGACTTCGACTCCTAACCAGATCAGCAGCAGTCACCTTCAGAGGGTCAGAGAGAGAGTAGATAGGGGACACACACATGCATGCAGGTTCAGGGAAAGGAGGTGCTTTTCTCTCTTCTTGAAGATACCGCCGATGGTGCTCCACGACGCTCCACACGCTCCAGGTAGTAGACTTCGCCACTTCTTCTTCGGCCTGCTCCCCCACTATCAACACTCTTCTTCTCTTCCTCCCTCCTTCACTCTGCCTCCATCACCACTTCCTCTCGCCGGCCTTGATCAGACCAGCGCTATGAGAGTAGCGAGCATCTGCTCTGATACCAAATTTTGCATGGGTCCTGGGGACCATCTCACGCAGATGTGTACACGCAGTGATCAATAGTCTCAACCATAGACAAAGGTAGAGAAGAAGAGGACCGAGCTTCACAGCTTATATTATCAGAATTATGAATACAAAGTGTTTCAAAGTTCCCCTGAGTCCAGCGCTCATCAGCGCAACACCAATCTCTTATCAACTCATCAATATGGCTT